CTCTCTCTCTCTCTCTCACACACACACACACACACACACACACACACACACACACGCACACACACACACACACACACAAATAGGCACACACGGAACTATTTTACATGTCCATTACATCTAACAAGATGCAAATTATGAAGGCCTTACTAAATAATCGAGAATATTAGAGGACGGTTATCAAGAAAGAGGAAGAGATGGCCAGGCTGTGGTAGCACACACCTTTAATCCCAGTACTCGGGAGGGAGGCATAGCTAGGCAGATCTCTGTAAGTTTGAGGCCAACCTGGTCTACAGAGAGAGATCCAGGACAGGCACCAAAACTACACAGAGAAACCTTGTCTCAAAAAACCAAAAAAAAAAAGAAAGAAAGAAAGAAAGAAAGAAAGAAAGAAAGAAAGAAAGAAAGAAAGAAAGAAAGAAAGAAAAAGGAAAAGAAAGAAAAAAAGAAAAAAGAAAGCAAAGAGAAAGTCGGGCCTGCTAGGTGGTAACCAAGGAGTCATTTCCTAAAGAAACTTGGAAAGGAGAAAGAGATGGATGGTTGTGTGCAAAAGTATGTGGAGGTGGGCTTGCAGTAATATATTAAGGTAAGGAATCAATCAAATAAACAAAAAATTAAAATAAATACATATCTATAGAAGGGTATCTTTAAAATTATCATGAGATTGGCCATAGGTCAAATTGCTTATAAAGAGATAATAACAAAAAATTTCAAAAGCAATCAAATTGGACAAATGGGATGAGCTCAGAAATCTATACTTTCAAATAACAATCCTAAGGAAAGAAAGAAACATTCAAAACAGGAAATACTAAATTTAGGAACATAAAAAAAAGATAAAAAGTGAAATTATTCATTTACATTTATTAATCTGAATTATTAACATCCACCAGTGAACAAAGAAAGAAGGTATTTGAGGTTCCAGGAACAACTAACAAATAAAACACAGTCTCATTTCAATAATGGAATTCAGGATGCAGAGTTCAGAGAGAGAGAGAGATTAATTATCACAACATTGTAAGAATTCAGGTAGTCATATATGAAAGATACTCTACAGTAGACTAGAATAAGCAACTGATATTCCTCGAGGGTCTTTGGAGAAAGCCTCACAGAGTAAGTGATCTTCATAGAATCTTGTAAAATATATAGAAATCAATTAGGAAGATAAGAAACAAAAGGACATTTCAGACCTGTTGTGCAATGAAACAATGAATATGCAAGAAGGCATTTGTAGAAGTACAGATATTGTGTAAAGGGTAAATGCTGGGGCATGTTTAAACAGTCAAGGTTAGAGGTCACTGGGATGAGGAGCAACAAAGAACAATGCATGTCAGACTCAGCTTAATGCTTTCCCTGAAGAAATTCTTAGAAAGAGGTCATTGAATTTGTTATGCCTTTGTGTGGTATGTGAACTATGGAAACTCACTTTCTCAAAGTTCTTCTATCTTGTGTTTCCTAAAATATCTTTGTAGACATTTTCATACTTCACTAATGAGTCTAGAATAATAATACCTGCTATGGACTCAGCTGAAAACCTACAGATAGGTACTCAATTTTATTGTCAGAGGTTTGCATTCCATTTCTAACCTATTAGCTGTGCTTCTTTTTAAGGCCCAGGGATATAGGAAATTCCCTGTTCTCATATCTAATAATATGTGAACTTCTTACTTAGTGGTTTTCTCAGAGAGGATGTTGATAACCTATCTAAAGTAAATTAAAATACTGATTACCATTTTTCCCTTTAGGATGTTAATGAATTCTTTCCTCACAATTCCTGTCTCTTGCTGTGTGTGCTTTTCGTCATAGGCCTTCTCTGTTATAGAAATTTCAGAAAACTAATAATCCCATAATTACCTGTGACTAAAGGAAACGGAGGAGAGAAAACTAATAAGAAAGCTAAGGAGAAAGTGTAATTGCCCCAGCAAAGGCCAATGGCAATTCTATAAAGTGTCACCTGGGAGATATAGAGACTGAAACAGTAAATAATACCTCTACCCTTCCAGAGAACAATGGCAGACAGTTAAAAGTGAACAATTTGGTGACATGTTGGTGTTTGAGGGTAAGTATAGCTGCTTACAAAACAACAGAGGTAAATTATATTCTTTATAAATACCATTGAACCAGATTTCTTAGAATATAGTCCTAAAAATGATTTTTATAGTGTGAGAAGTTACATCAGCTGTTCTACCATACCAGTATGCGTACTTCCTTCCATATTTGTATCAGTTAAACCTATAAAGCTTTTAAATAAAAAAAATCCAATGCATAATTAGTGTCAAGCCACTGGCATACTATTACTACAGGGGGTATGCATATGCAAATCAGACCTTGTTATTTAAATTTGCTGTCTGGATGGAACTTTAAGGCTTAGGAAGTTGTCAGAAATGAATACTTACTGATTCCACCAGCTCTCCCTGTGACTCACAATTGTGAGAAAACTGAGATGCCCTGTTCTAGAGTTTGCACAGAGTAGAGGTCCTTGCACTGAATCCACCACTGTAATAATAGTAACATTATATTTGAGTCAAGTTGCTAACTGATTCCAACCAGGGTAATCCTTATGGTGATGAAATGATACTCATTTCCCGAGAAATAAAAATCACATGAGCTGAAGTTATTTACATGACTGATTACTTTGGGTAGCGTGGTGTTCTTTAACAAATTATATGGTAATTAAGAAAAAAATTGGGAAAAAGAGCTCAGTGGACAAGATGTTTACTGTACAAACAAGAGAACTTAATATTAGATGCCCAGTACTCAAGTAAATGCCAGATAGTTGATAACCCCAGCACTTGGAAGTGGATCTCTGGGTCTCACCAGCAAACCAATATAGCTGAAAAGATTAACCCCAGATTCAGCAAGGGATCCTGTCTCCAAAATAAGGTGGAGAAACAAGTGAGGAAGACATTGTGGTAGTACTGTCTTGTGTCCACATGTGCTTGCATGGAGAAACACACTAGAACACACAAGTACACACATAATTATCCACACACAAAAAACATATATATACACTCATTAAAAAGAAGAAAAAAATTGCTAGTTGAATCATTGCCAGTGAAAATAACTTTTTTTCCCCATGTTTCCTTGATTTATTCTCTATTTTCTCCTCCACAATCGTCTGTTTCCCAAATTATTGGTCATTTGTTTATTTGTCAATTTTCCTTCATTTATCATTCATTAATTCCCATTAAATACCAACCACTAAAGATATGAGAAGATAAACGTGAAGTGGGTTAAGATGAAGTAACTTAGATTGGTTAGGTTCTAAGATTAAGG